TTGGCTACCATATTGAATTTAAACGCACTGGAGTGTGGGATCTACCTTCACAAGACCTATCATTCGGTCGATTTATTGAATTTTTGTCGAAAAGTCAAAGTACTAAAACGTATTACTAAGGAATTTTACCAAACATTTGTTATAGTTTGTATTAATTTTCTCCCCAATAAAAATACAGACACCATAATTGATTATATCTATTGAAATGACTACCAATTTCTTGCTTTGTTGGTAATACGTCGTCAAAGGTTAAGGGTTTGTGCAGGTTCGATTCCTGCCAGGGAGTTTATAGTTGCGGCATTTTTCACAACTGCTCCTGGTAGGTCTAATAAATGTATAAAAATTTACAAATCTCTTCTACAATGAATTCTATCAAGTGAGATGCTCAAAATCCTTATATTTAACTTCCCAACAGCTTGGTTATAAACTTGGAAATATTTCTTCACAAATCTTGTCTGAACCAATGAGAGTTTTCTTCTCTGAAGTTTTGAAACAGATAGATGTGTAGAAATGCATAAACTAAAACAACAGGTTAAAATTTAACCCAGGACTAGCGCTAATCGTGCTTTGAACAACCGGCCCCATATACATGTGCATATACATGCTCGACAACTGGCCTCTGTAGCTCTGTTGGTTATAGCGGTGCACCGGAATAGACCTTTCCGGTAATTATGTCACAACTAACACTGTTTCCAACTTAGGACCACCTTAGATGGAATGGATTTTAAGTTTGTTTCTCACGGGCTATTGTCAGAGGAGCTGGACATCCTTCGTCAACACATGCATAAAAAGATTTTTGGATTTTGACCAATAAATGTGGAAATAAGCTTAAAGGACATCGGCAACGGATTTTTTTATTGGTTATTTTTGTTCACGTTGGTTATCTTAATAAGGATATGTATTTTATTTGGAATGAAAATTATTCGATTCGGAGTAAAAAGCGAATGAAGTTGGTCTAATTATGCATGGTGTCCGGCATCTTGAAGAAATTCCCGATATGCTAATTTATGCGGAAATGCCTTACTGACGTCATTGGCAGGGGAACGGATTATACAATGTATACGGCCCTTGTAAATAGCTATAGTTTACATGCTGTTTTTTTCTACGTTATTTGAGGAAATTGCATAAAAATGACATAGCAACCTAGTTTATTTCTATAAATTTCCATAGTAAGCGTTCTTTCGCCTTGCGGAAGATATGCGACGAGTATTTACGTCTTAGTGTAAGCGCGCCGAACATCTTGTAGCCAAACAGTTGACATAGGCCTAAGTTTAATTTTTTAAAATCACTGTGGAAACCAATTCATTTTTTTCTGGGCGAGGGTAGGTAAGAAATGATGCTTTAGCTTTCTAAAAAACATATAAAACGCAAAACATAAACGGACTATGTTATAATCTATATTTTTCCACAGACTATTGCATTCATGTAATACGTATTAAACCATGAAGGTCAAAGTTAAGCAATGTATATTGCCTTGTGTGCGGCTGCAATATAGTGATAGTCAACTGAAGACATTAGAAACGTTAATTGCTTTCGTTTTCCTTGCGGCAAAATGCCTGAGCAGAAGAGCCGTAGAGCGGCCTGGGAAGAATTTTGCAAACGAAAAGCATTTAAACCCTCACTTTAAACAAGAATTTGCTCGCTTCATTTTGCCGAGGAGTCATATGAACCCTCGCATTCTCCTCAATCCCTCGAAAGCATTGGATACACAGAGAAAACGAGTTGCGTAAAGCCCAATGTTTACCAACGCTTGACAAGCCTACGACCAATGCTAGAGTTTCTAACGTATCTGCATCGTCACAATCGAAGAGAACAAGGAGACAAACCGAGAGGAGACAACGTCAAAAGATACCAGTACTTGAAAGATACATTTACCAATAGCTTTAATAAACTCTGCTTCTTCAATGTCCTTATTTTTCTTCATTGTTTCACAATTTAGAATCTTGAAGAGTGGTTATTAAAGTCACTTTCATCAACAGAGGATGAAAATTTGCCGGTTGCGACTTGCGAGTAATCTAAGCGATATAAAAGCAGACGTTCTCATAGACTCAGACGCAGTTTGCGAGGAAGAAATAATAGCCAGTTCAGATATCTGAAGACATTTAGTTGATTTACCCTCCACAGTTAGGATCAAAATACAAGTCAGACCTCGCTGAAACACGTAAATCACACACATTCAAAACACAGACATTCATAACAACAGAATCACCGTGGTTTAGACAGTTATTTGATATAGCAACGACGCAGAATAAATCACTAGAACAAATCGCCAGAACTGAATAGGATTGTAAATGCAGCTCTAACAACTTTAGAGGCCAAACATACGTTAATCATCGAAGAACTACCTTCTGCACTACAAACGACATCATTAGAACATTTTGACCAAACGAAGTAAAACTATAAATACCATAACTAACCCACAGCTAACTAAAACCAACATTGACCGCTTCCTTCGGCATTTGTGACTAAAGGGTCGTACTCATCGTACTCTAAAGCCTTATCGTGCGAGCAGCCACACTTGCACCAACTGCGTGATTTAAGACGCCAGATATTCTCAGCCTCGAATGCTTCATCGAAGTCTCAAGTCGTCGTCTGAGCCTTTGAGGACGACTCGCTCTCGGATTACTCGGAATCGCTTCTGCCCCACTGCTACCAGTATTTTTGTTTAAAACAAGTTCAAACTGATAAGGTAACACTTCACCTAACTGATTCTCGTGAATTTCGTCCATAGAAAGCCTAGAACCGGCGAAAATTCTTCACAAAAGTTAAAACTGATCAAAAGCTATAGTAGCGACAGCGTATTGTTTTGCTTCTCCCCTGCCAATGACGTCATCAGAGGCCTCAAATGACATGAAAGATAGTTTTCCAAAATGTGCTTTCAAAATGGCGGGCGATATGCATAATTAGACCAAATTCATTCGCTCTTTACTACAAATTGAGATATTTTCATCGCAAATAAAATACATATCTTGACTAAGACAATTATAGAGAACAAAACAAGGCAATAAAAAAATCCATTGCCGATGTCCTTTAAAGGTATTTTCCTATGCTTTCCTCTTTGCACTAGTACTTGTTTCTCTTATTTTCCTTTGCGCGAATCTCCCCCCCCCCCCTTCCCAACCAATCATCACTTTTCTAATGGTTCATTTTTCTAATCGGGTCCGCGCCTTTAGATTATTCTTACAGCTGTACGCAATAATATTAATTAATCAGGCTAAAATTAGCACCATGCAAACTTTGGATACAAGTAAAGGTAGGATAAAATTATTCATCATCGCTCAAGTTTTCATCCTCGTGGTTACTGTTGATCATATCTTCTTCATCATCTGAGTCAGATCCCAAGACTGCAATTTTCACATTGCAATTTTCACATTTACAAAGTTCAGTACAATGTAAATTGGCTCGTTTGCAGCCACATCTATTGGACTCGCATCCTGTTTTGCAACCGCAATTTACAAACTGAAGCAATTCCTCTGGGGCTGCATCAATTGACATCCATTTGAGCTCAATTTCGTCGTTGTTGATAACCCATCCATGTTCAGCAGGATCAGGCGAGTTTATGACTGCGTCAAACGACTTTTTCCAGATAAGTGTTTGGTAATTTACACGTCTGATATGATGATATAGGCAATCTTTATTTGGAGGTAGATTTTCATCAGAAAAATTTCCGAGCTTGAACAAACGATACCGAGCCTCGTTAACGTGGCTAATTCCATTTTGACCATATAACGCACAAACAAATTTCTCTAAGTGCTGGAATGTTTCGGATGACGGAAAATAGCATGACCCTAATTGTCGAAAACCATCAAACATTTTCTTTTCCACCATCAATTTCCATGTCTTTTTCTTCCCTTTCCCATAGAATTCGCTTGTTGTATCGCATCCTAAATAAAACATACATGCTTTAAATCATTTAGTGCACAAATGTTCAATGTCTTATGCCACCCGAATTTACCATGAACACACGGCATCCTTTTTCTGATGTTTTAGGCAATTAAACCGCTGCAGGAATTCTATTCTTTTGGTAACAAACCACATATAAAAACCGGAAAAACGACATCGTGTGCCCATAATCAAATCGTTTACTTATAGGGACAAAGCCAAATTTGAATGCATCCGTATGGGAATATATTTTTATTTGTTCCCTCGTACCCATAGCAACACTGTTATAAAAAACGGATATGACGAAAAGTGATATTTAATTGCCATGAGTGGGACACAGTCACATAATTTTATTATTCCAAACCTGTAAATGCATGAAGACCGATCAAAGAATCAAATATGTCGTTATCCAAACTTCTTGCGATCTTTGTTATGTCAATAATTCTGGACTTTGCGTTGTTTCCAGTTACAAAATACATTTGAGATGTTAAATGGTTTCCTTTGGCTACAAGAAGAACAAATACATCTGTATCCGGGCTCTTCACAGAAACATGAGTATACTGTAGCCAGAGGTCGATGCATGATTAGCATGAAGCAACAAGCGCGTATCTGCTTCCTCATGATCACTGTGTAACTCATGAATCTGTTCGAATTCGGGTTTCTCTGATTCGTTATGCGATGGGAGGAACTTGAAGCACTGATCCTTTCGTGTTGCGTAAAGTACTATTCCTCTAAAATTCTCGGATTTGCTCTCCTTCCATTCGTCGACCACGAAGCATGCCAACGATTCTTTGTTTTCGCCATTATTGAGAAATTTCTTCCATTGTGTTGGTGTCTTTTGCTTTTTTCCGTAAATCTTTAACATGTTACTTCCTGTAGAAGCTCGTTTCTTGCGTTCGCTATTTTTAATACTCACTTTCGTGTAACGATCGACAACAAAATCAACTCTCGTTGCATTCAGGCGTGTTGCCATAGAAATAAGGATAGAAAGGAGAAGCGGAGGAAGCTCTTCAAACGTGGGAGGAACCTGACTAAGTGATTGAAACATGGCCATAGCATCAATGATCAGCGCTCCATTTGATGGGATAACATCAGTGACAGAATCATCTACCGTATCTTCGATGATGTGCATCAAGTTTGCTTTCACGGTTTTTACCATGATGCCATCAGTTGTCACAAGACTTAATGGATACGGACCCAATGAAAACGACAGAACTTCCTTTAAATCTATTTCTCGACTTCTTGCCAATAACAAGAGTTTTCCCATCAAATTTCTAGAGCTCTTTAAAGATATTTCCTTGCCCTTAGCTTTAGTCGTGGAAACAGGTTTCGTTAATGATGAAAATGTATGCAGTTTTGTTTTTTGGATTGCTGCAAAAATATCTGGTACTTTAGATAGTAACTTTGTCTGCACAAAAGTAGATAATCTCTCCTCACCTATCGCTTTAACATTTTGCAGGTCATTTTTCACCTTGTCATTTGCAATTATTCCACTTGTTATATGCACCATCTCGCTTTGGTCTAGTTCGGATGGATTAATGGTGTTTTCTATCGTATTCATAACGCTAAGAACGTCAGCTTCGTGTGACTTTCTTTTTGGTTCATCAAGATTCTTTCTTGTTCTATAATTTATGGAAATTTACCAAATTAATACAACACAAGACGGTAACATAAGTCATGCAGCCAGAGCGAGGGGTGTGTCACTTCAAAAATCTCTTACGCTTCGAAAGAAATACTTATTTTCTAAATACCAAAAATTTCCTTATTTGAAGTGATACACCCCTCGAAAAAGGGTGCAGTGTATACTTTTTATTCCACAGCATAATAGTTAATTTTCCATATTTGCATTCAACACACCTGCACTCATTTGTTGCACTGGTCATTAACAAACATTGTCTAGCAATAGCAGATCTCTCGGACTGAGATAAGAACCATCTGTGAACAGCGCCACGATTTAGCGTAAAGCCAGTCATGCCACCATTGGTCTTCGAGTCCCTGTTCGCAGTTTGCTCAATTTCCTGATCATATGCAATTGCAGAGAAACCGTAGCGATCTTGCCTTTGAACCGTCCAGTTTTCGCGAATATTCTTGGCAGCACCTTCATGGCGAAATATAAATTTACTGTTCAGTAAAACACAGTGGACTTGCATATCTGAGTATAAATGGAAGCATGAATGTGTGTTTGCGAACTGATACTATAATAACAAAAGCTTCGCGTCCTTGCATTTCTCACGCTTAAAGTTAGAGGTTTTGCCGTTGTGGATTTTGAGCTTCACAGAACAAGTTTAAATGAATTATTTAAACTCGTTGCAGTATACATACAAATGAGCTAAAATGATGTATTATATATTGTAAATTTTGCTATGGATCAGTATACAGTAGGTGCAATGGGTCTTAAAATATTACTAAATATCAATCTAAAATAGCACTGGTATCTAACCTGGGTGAGTTTTGTCAAGTGTTATCATTTCTAGCCAGTAAGCTGTGGCATATCTAGAGTAGTTTACTCTGTCGGCGGCAAAGAAAAACGGGAGCATCGATCGTAAAGATGACAAATGGAGATTCCAATCACTTTCCCGTGTTGCTCTAATAAACTTCATCAACAAGCCTAGAGTAGTCAACAAAAGTAGAAATTCATCAAAGTGTAGTAGCATATAGTGCATGTGTGTTTTTGTTCCTTGAGTGTGGGGTTCCACTGTAGGTACAGTAGCAACGAAGACTATTTTTATGCATGGGATTCTACAGGATTGTAAGATAGAAAAGATAAAAATATTGATTTCTCAAGCAAATGCTTTCAAGACGTGTCTGAGTTTCATAATCAAACAGCTTAGAAAAGGAAAATAATTGGCTTTCTTTTATATTAAATTTTCGAACAAGTGTATTTTACATAAAGGTATCCAGATTAGCATACATTGATACAGAGATACCTGTTATTTCAATGTAAGTAGACCACAGGGCGAAGGTTGGAAATTGCTTTCAGTTCTGGTGATTCAAGGTAGTCATAGAATTCTTCATTCAGGAAAGCATCTCTAATGTTGCACAACAATGATTCAATTTCACATGCACGTTCTGGGGAACAATTGTCCATAAAACATTGGAAACGGATAATCTCCAAAGCCTCGTGCATTATTTTGTGACATTTCACACTCCCATTATAGAATTTCCCACTCATAACTCCATTAACAGTATTTTGTCCCACAACACCAGATTCTACAAGTACATCCTGATGAAAAACAACAACATACAAGTATTAAATGGATGCACACTCATGTGCACATGCATTGGCTTATAAATTACATACCCTTAAACCTGCATCTTGAAAGATCCTTGATATCGCTCCACAAAAGCTCATCACTGCGTGGAAATCACCAAGACGCAAAATAGTTTTGACCATGAAACTTTCATTCTTCCAGCGAATCTGTTGGGCCTTTGCATATATGACCTCATCAAACACAAGAACTACATACTCAAGATTTAACTTGGCAGCTATTTCTAAGCTCTTTACGAAAACTGTGTAAACTGTTGTGTACTGTGTTGGAGATCCTTCAATAACTGGTAGGTAACCTATTCTTGACAAATTTAAAGCTGAAGTATCGTTTCTTGATAGCAGTGTGTTGAATCCTGTCCAATCAGGAAGAAGCTCTGAATTATCAATGAAGGATAGCTTTAAAAGGCAGTATACCAAATCCAGTTTATTTTCAGATATCTGATGAGTAGAATGACACTCTTCTTCAAATTCAAGATCAGAACACTGCTCTAACACATCAATGGACTTTTTCTTTCCTATTGAATATGGCATCAATTCACAGCATGGATCATCTAAGCTTTTTCTTCTCGTCTTTACTAATGGCGGAATAGTAATTACATCCTCATTCAAAGCTCTTTGTACCGCAATTCCATTAGTAATGTGCGTAGATGATTTAGATTCTTCCTGAAAGTCATCATTATCCCAAATTAGTGTTGTATGCTTGTTTGGAAGAATTTCTTTAGGCACCACTGTTGAACTTTGCAGATTTAATTCTGCAAGAGCTGTGTCATATGCCTCAGTGTGGTTGAATGAGATGCACAATGCCCGAATCCATGGATAATCTTCAACAGTCCGGAAGATCCTGTCATCTGGCGAATTGTCATGCTGAGAGCCAAATATTTAGGTGTTGGTTTCCGACCAGCATGTGAAACATAAATAACATCTTGTGCCAGGGAGAGCAATTTGGCATTCTCTTCTGCCGTTACTTTTGCATAGTCATCAAATCCTGGATCATCAGTCATGCCTAATACCCATGCTAAGAAATTATACAGTGGAAGTGGGACCATTTTCCTTGCACTCTCTAGAGTAATGTCATAAGATGTTGGAGGCCAAGGTGCATCAAACTCCGGAGCACCTTTGATTAATGTTTGCATGAGCATGGCTCCGCTATAAAGCAAGAGCATGTTATTTTCAACTTGAAAAGAAGACTGTTGTTGACAATTTGTCTGTTGATTATCTTCTTCATCATACAACTCATATTCAGACCCAGAATTACTTGCAGAATCAGGTAAATTATCTAAGACTTCACCGGCAGAGACCGCTTCAACATAAACAAGTTCACTTTGTGTGCATTTAGAAGGGGCAAAGAATACCAGTTGTGGGTAGCCAACTTTTAACCTCGTTTTAAGACGAGATGCTTTAAAATTAGATGCATCCTTTTCCTCTACCATATTGACGTAATGAAGGAACTTTTGAAACAGCTTGGTCATCCGGTATACATTATGCTTTTGTATAATTTTTTCAACAATTACATCCTGGCAAAATTTCTCATACGCATTTAGATACAAATGCCCCTGTCCTGGAGATCGCTTATACAGAAACTGTGTATATGATTTGTAGCAACTCGTATGGTAATGGACTTCAATCGCGACACAACCCTTTCCTCTTATATAGTGAAGTACCGACTCGTCATTCTTCTGTTCTGCAGCACGTCGCAAAAAACCTGCATCAACTGTTTCTGCAATGTGCAATTTTGCTAAAACACGTTTTTGAGTTGTCTGAAATAAAAAAAAAGATATTTAGGTCGTGCACATGACATCAAGCTTAATATATTGCAAGGTAATAATTATAGTATATACTGTATCATTCATATACAATTTTTATAAAGTGCTATGTAATAAATAGGATGGCAAATTTAGCTATAATTTCTATACTACCAAATGCTTACCTTATCTTTTACATATATCTTTTCTTTCTTGCATATAATACATACATTTGGAAGAACCTCATTATTTCTCGCAGGAATTTCGACTAACGGTGATATTATGGCAGAACGTGTACGCTTTCTTGGATTAATCGAGGCGGTAGCAACTTCACACTGATTTATTTCCGACTGCTCTACAGCTAGGAGCTTTTGCTGCTTAGATTCTGCCCTTCTTATCTTTGTTACGTCGGTAAATTGGCGGTAACAGTACTTATGGAAATAGTACTTAGAAAAATCTAGTTCTTCATTCGCACACAGGGACGCCGGAACGATAATAGGGCAAAGGGGGGCGGACGCACACCAAGGGCACCTTTACTGAAAAAATTTTTTTCACTGCAAAATTTTTTGGCGACCTCCCCCCCCCGTCGCCAAAAAAATTTCGGTCAGTGTACCATTTTAGGGGTCAAAAATTTTTTCCGGACATACAAAAATTTTCCGTGAAGCCAAAAATTTTTCCGGATATCTTAAATTTTCGCCATTTCTTCAAAATATTTTTCTAAATTCCAAAAATTTCCCAAAATTTTTATAAATATAAACTATAAATTACCTGAATCTCGTGATTTTCCTACAAAAAGCATCGTTGGAAATGTGATTTATCACGTATTATTTTACAACTAAAAGGGCACTTCTGCCCCCCCTTGCCCCCCCCTAGCAAAAGGCAAGGGGGGCAGCCGCCCCCCCTGCCCCCCAGTTCCGGCGTCCCTGTTCGCACATATTTTCAGACTCTCGTGAGCTATTTCTGACGATGTACCTGGTAATTGCAGCCACTGAAGTCGACAGTTTTTAAATTTAGTGAAAGTTTGCTCAGTAAAAGTATTTATCTTTTCCTTAACGCCTTTTAAATAGACTAAACAAGATTTGCCCTGTGTCTCTTCGTCGGCCATTTTGTTTCGTTCAAGCCGACTGTTTTCATGGAAACGCAGCAGATACCGGGAAAATTTTCATGTCAACGCCACTATTGTCATGGTTACGGGGTAAAATACCCGGTGACATGCAGGAAACAAATTAACATGCTGACAGCAAATAATATAGAATTCAATGCGATTTTACATAAAAACTGCGGGGTTTCAGACTTGGGAACAAAAAGAATTGAATTCAGCACACTTCAAAACGTAAGTCTGTATCGAAATATTTTGTTCTGCAAATTTGGGCAACGTAACTGCAAAAAATTGACATACACAATTACCTAAATTTGACTGGATTATCTATTCGAAATAAATTCGGAACCACAGCTAGAGGATCATGTAGAGGAGGTGTTTCGCGAAGGAAAAATTCGATTGGTATGGCAATTTTTGCCGTTGTTAGATATTAATAGTAACCGACGTACGTAAACGCTGTTGAGCATTGTGAAAATAGAACAAAATGGTTCATTATATAAGCACAGTCATTCTTACACCGTTCTCTACGATCCGCCTTTATTGCGATGAGCAATATGACACTGCATGCGCTTTCCAGGTCAAAACGTCCCCAGGTCAAAACGTCCCCAGGTCAAAAATCCCCAATTACTCATGTCAAAATATCCAAAATAAAGTCAAACCTGTTGGCTAAATGTCAGATATTCTGCCAGTTTTAAAGTAATTTTAAACAATTTTCACATATAATATTTTTGGATTTCTTCTGATCTGATCAAGAAACTAAATCAACCACGGTTTGATATATTCAACCAGGGTCAGATAATTATGATTTTATTAGTTGAATATGTTGTTTAGTGGCTAAATTTCCTTGCTAAATTTCATATATTGGTGATTTGGTGAGTGTATGTATGCATCATGACAGTTGGCTTAAAATTATTAACACTGAAACATTCTGAAATCGTGGCACTATTACAATTATTTGCGAATAAGTTCATTGCCAAATAAAGCAATTAATTCAGAGTTACATACTCCCATGTCGTAACCCTATGTCTGTGAACATGTTTATTCTTTTATAAATTAGTTGCAGTTCAATTTATTTGAACACAAGAGTTAGGGGTTTTTGGCCTGGGGACGTTTTGACCTGGGGACGTTTTGACTGCGCAAAGTCAGGGACGTTTTAACCTGGGGACGTTTTGACTGGATATACCCTGCATGCCACGTAAGCAAATTTGCATTTTTTCGGACAACTTTTGTAGTCTGCTAGTAAAAATATATACACGTGCATGAAGGCAGAAAATCATAAAAGAAAGGGCAAATCCGATAATTTTTTAGTACAGCAAGTAAGCTAAGATATTGTCATTGTCATCCAGCGAATGAGAATGATATGACTGTTCATATCGGCAGAAAAATGCGCGTTTTATTTTTTATCGATAAATACGGACGGATCCACAATCTTGTACTTACTGCAGCTAACTCAGATGAAATCATTCATTTAACATGGAACACCAAGACCAAGGGCAACAAATATACTGTTCATAGTAAGATTAGAACACAAATAGCCAAGCTAAAAATCTGGAGAAGCTAACTTGATCTAGACAGTGTATTGCTATAGATGCTGAGCAACTTGCATGCATCTGTACCGAATTTCTATCCTCTATTCCTTTCCTTGGACATTTTGCATTTACAAATATAAAATCAATGTTCTGTTATCCTCTTTCAACGTCGTTTGATGTTGCCCCTTGCCATTTGAATATTTGTCAATTTAGCACCCTCAAAATAGTCTTATGCTCACATTGACAAAAATAATACATGTTTATATATTTTCCTGCCAATCTGACTAGATATAATATTCATTCACTGGATGACATGACAATATCTTAGCTTTAATACTTGCTATACTAAAAAAATCGGATTCGTCCTTTCTTTTATGATTTTCTGCCTTTTTAGTTCCCGCACGTGTATATACTAGCAGGCTACGTAAAAGTTGTGGCAGTGTCATACAACTCAACGCGTTGAAGGTGGATTTAATCCACATTCGAATTGAAGTCATATTTTAGAAAATGCTATAACTATTCATGTTTGATAAATCGATATATATTATAGACAAAATTTACTCTGCGTTTTTAGAGACCACTAATGAATGGTAATAATTATTGCATGATAAAACAAACACATTATGAGTGCAGAAGAAAGGGGTGAACTTGCGAGAGACTACATTCCGGGAATGTTTTTATGTTTTAGTGAAAGGTGCGCATGTGAATTTTTTATATTGGAAAGCAACGTACATTTATTTCTGCTTAAATTTTGCAAAGCGTGTAACTAAATTGAAAAGAACTATATAATGTATAGTAAAGTTCTGCATGATAAATCGTCAAGTAAGAATAGATTCAATTTATATTATATATTTTGACCCTGATTTTCCCTGACCCTTTGGTTTAGGCTATTTTATATTTGGGCTAACTATTTTATCATCTCGAACTTTGAATGCATGCCAGCTAGTACAGGTAACGAAGTATATAATTATTATACCTCATGGTTCACGTTTAATCTCGAACTATTATAGTTTTAATAATATCGGTCTTTTCCTGTCATCGACCATATCAAAAGAAAAAATAATCATTATAGTTTTTAGCGCTTTGCCCCATGCTGTGTTACGAAGTATGGAAACTATGTTCAAAAATCATTAATAATTCATGAAGCAATTATCCAATCTTGAGTAAGAAATTAGTCACGTGCATACGTCTTTATACCAGCTAAAGAACACTTTAACAAAAGACCATTGTTATGCAAACTATATAAAGATTTTTATGTAAAGATTTTTATATAAAGATTTTTATATAAAGATTTTTATATAAAGATTTTTATATAAAGATTTGACTTATTATGCAAACGTTTGTGAAGCCATTTAAAAAACTCATTAATAATTCAGGACAAAACACAAAGAAAAATCATAAGCGTGTCGTGGTTTTATATGTGATAAAAAATCATGTTAATTTACAAAAACTTTAGCTTTGATTTTCTCGGTTTAGACAAAGTTTATTTTAAAAATTTCTTCGCCAATGAACTCGTATAAGATGAGTCGTTTTTGTTTCATGCCCATATATGGGCATGCAACTTTCATATAGCTCTAAATTTCGTGTCGTGTTGTGCGTTGTACCGGCGGTGGTAAATCACGTGACAGATTCGTATGTGGAAGTTGAAACTTCAATTGCAATATGCACGTTTTGTTCACGGCTTTTGTTCACGGCTTTCGTCGAGGAAACGCAAAGAAAATATTGAGTTTTCGTCGAACATTTACGTAATTTAGCGCCTTAGAAAAATAGATCGAGGTAGGTAAAGCTTTGCTGTTGTTAATTTAGCTTATATTCTGTCATTTGACAATTTGTTATTATTTTGGTGCCGTTGTGCTCGCACTGGTACTAGGGACCTTTAGCTAGCAGGACGGCGACGGCTATTAATACAATGAAATTTATGACAATGTAGAAAGAAAATGCATAATTAAAGGTCCCATGGGAGTATTAGACGTCGTCCTTGCTCTGTTTACAACTGCAAACCAAAGATTTTCACGTTTTGTACACAACGTCTGCCTTTCAAGCCGCGAGAAGTCGTCCTCGCCAAATTGGCGTAGTAGAAGTCTTCTCAACAATAAACCTTTGTCTTAACCTTCTTAAATTGCAATAAATTCATACAACGGATAATAGAAGACATGTTGATCTTAAAGTTACTTATTCGAACAAGTACTGTGTGTAAA